CTCCTATCTTGTTCATTCTTTGGGTGCATCTGTCGATCCCGGAGATGGAGACCTTGACGGTTGCACCTCTTGTGATGGTGACTCTAATGATGGCGCCACCTTTTCTTTCCACACCTGCTTGGTCTGTGGACTTAATTTTGACGGAGTAGGTTCATCTTTCACAGGTTCTTCATCTTTCTCCCATTCATTCTTTGGGGATTGATTCCTCTGGCGTTGAGATGCTCGGCGTCTCCTCTTGGAATAGGTCTTCTTTGGCTATTCATAAGTAGTATAACTATTAAAATAACATCATACCTTTTCTCCTAGAAATTGGAAGTAGACTTGTCCAGATCCAACATAGATGATCGCATTGGTTGTGTTGAGGAACGGTCTTCCAAGGATGATGGGTACGTCTTCTTCTTCTTCTCCCATGTCTAGAACCATGAAGTCAGCAGGGGCATAGTGATCATGTATTCTTACTATGACGTCATTTGCTATTCCCTCTAGAAATCGGATTGATTGGTCCGCCATCTGCAATTGCATATATATAGGGAACAAAGGTTCATCACTGAATAAGTATTCATACGTTACTTTTGACATTATATTAACACCAGATCCGATGTCACAGAAGGTGTTATGAAAGATTCTTTGTCCAATGGTACACTCGATTGTCAGTACGCCTGGATCGTCCTTCTTGGTAAGGAATGGTGAAGCGAGGAAGTGGTCGTACTCCGATCAAAGTGTGTTGATCATGTTAACTGATTCTTCTTGTGGCCACCTAGCCTTGTTCTTCCTCCTTCTCTGGTTGTTTTTCTTCTTGGTCACCGTTGTCTCTTTGGGCAAGTACGGTGTTTGTGGATGTGCAGGAGATTGTAAGATAAGATTCTTGAAAGTAAATTTCTCCTTTCTATCCTTGATTGTGAAACAGATCTTGACACTGTCCGCGTAGATAATGGCTTTCACAGTGCTTAGGAATGGTCGACCCAAAATAATGGGTGCCCTTACATCTCTACCTGTTTTCAAAACCACAAAGTCTACGGGAACATAGGACTATCCCACTCGTACACAGATATCTTCAAGAATTCTCTTGGGGTGGCAGAGTGACTGATCTATAAGCTATAAACGTATGTTTGTGTACAACAAAGTATCTCCATTAATTTTATCATAGATTACCTTAGACATGATGTTGACATTTGCTCTGAAGTCACAAATAGCTTATTAGAAAATATGAGGTCCAATAGCTATGGGGATGACAGGTCTTCCTATATCACCCTTCTTTTCAGATAAGGAATAGTCTATCCACCTTGTCGATGGCTCCATGTAGTAGTATGCTGCATTGTGAATATCGACAAGATTTATAATTTCTAGATCTTCCGATTGCCCCAAAATCTTACATTTGTTGGTTGAAGGAATAGCAGCCACCAGCTGAGCTATTTGTGATTCTATCATTTTATTGAAGCTATGCTGGTTCTTAATGGCAGAGGAGAAGCTATCCATTCTATTATTTATGTTTTCTAAGATTTTATCATTGGAAGCTAACTTTCTAGATAAGCCCTCCATTATTTTAGCTTGGCCAGAAATTAACTCTCTCAAGGATGGTTGAATATTGAAATTATTATAATTGTTATCTTGTTAATTACCTTGGTAGTTCGGCCTCTGTTGCTGATTCCATCCTTGATTCTATTGAGAACGATAGTTGTTGTTGATGATGAAGTTCACATCCTCATGGGTTTCAGGACAGTTGTTCCCTGAATGTCTAGTGTTGCCACATTCTTCACACGTCACACGGGAATCATGAATGTGCATGACTTCTTGCTTCTCATTGGCTTGGTCTTCAAGTTTCTTCATGAGCAGGTCCATCTTGGCAGACAGCATGTCCACCTCCTTGAGTTGATGCATACCTCCAGCTCTCTTGCGGGTCTAAAGACGTTCTTCATTCCAACATTGGATGGAGGCCATCTTCTCTACAAGAGCTGTTGCACCTGGGATTGTGAGTGATAGGAAAACACCTCCAGCAGCAGCATCCATATTCTCACGGGTGTTGTTGGTCAACCCGTGGTAAAAAGTTTGCATGAGTAGCCAACTCTCCGTCCCATGATGAGGACATTCTGTATGTAGTCTTGAAAGCGTTGGTCTTGCCTGTGGAAAAAAACTTTGCTAGAAAGGCAGTGGAGCAATTATCCCATGTAGTGTTTATATCTTTGTTGGTATAGAACCATTGCTTCGTCTTCCCCAAGAGTGAGAATGGGAAGAGGCGAAGTAGTATGGTGTCTCTAGATACTCCTTTAATGGTGAAAGTGTTGCAAATCTCTAGAAAGTGTTGGAGATGAGCACTTGCATCCTCATGTGCCTTTTTGCAAAACTAGTAGGCTTATACCATGTTGACGAGAGCTGGCTTGAGTTCAAAACCATTATCTCCGACATTGATTACCGGTCCAGTACAAATGTTTGCCGTAGTTGGAGCAGAGAATTCACGGAGAGTCTTATCAGCCATGGCTTCGAAATCTGGTGTTAAGCTTCGCCTTATCTGGTTGTCTTCCGATTCTAAAGCTAGAACTTTCTATAGTTTAACTCTAGTTCTCCTGATTAAATCTTCTGGGTCTTCAATAAAGTTTGTCGGAAGGTCAAAACCGATCATACATTACCCTGCATAAGATACAAAAGTAGATAGAACAAGGGTAATCCTGTTTAAGCAGAGGTCAATGGTTATCTCGATCACATTAATAAGTATAAGTTTATCAATATTTCAGCTACCTTCCCAATAACGGCACTAGAAATGTTTATTGGTATTTATTAACATGTCACTTGTTACCTGGGCTGAATATGATATCATGGCACCTGTGCCTCCAAAAACCGAAGAAGCTCTTGCTGTATCCTTTATTTCGAACTGTGGTGCACGAAACTTGCGTTTGCAAGCTCTTGAGATGCTTTCTGCTTTTTGCGGACGACTGCCTGGTGTTCACGCAAGCTAGTGAACGTGCGGGGGCAGCGTCTTGAAGAAATTTTGCAGACTTATCAGGAAGGATCAGGTCAGATGGTAATCAGCCATCTACTTCAGTTCGAATTGTGATGATAACATGAAAGAGGAGATGAGGCAGTCTACTGGTATTCTCACCGAGGCACTTGGTGAAAAATACTTAGGCCTGCACACAGTGGTTGGGCGCAGCACCACTGGTAGCTTCGAGCCGATCCCAGCAAAGGTCTGAAGTTTGGTCGGTGGCGATGGAATATCATGCTACCAAAATACCTAGAACTGGATGGCGATGCATGTGATGGACCTACTATATTAATTTTGAATTCCTATTTTATGCAATATATTATGACGTTCAGTGTGTTTGGATGTACTTCTAGCTGCTGGCTGGCACTAGCTAGTGACCACTGCACTTCTGGCATCTGGCTGTTAGGTGCTGCACGATAGTAGTTAGAAGTGCAGCCAAACCGGCTGGTAGTTATGGCATATGCATATGAGATCTACATGTGCCTTCTCAATTAATCTTGTTGCAACTAATATAGAAAGGGATATGTGGGCTGATATGGCATAGGGATTGCTTATGGGCAAGGTTTTTAATTTCGGTATCGCCAAAATTTCGGCCACCACCGAAATTACCAAAATTCGGCCGAAATTTCGCCGAAATTTTTTTAGAAATTAGCACATGAAGTATGTTTTTTCTAAAAAAAATTGGATCTAAACAAATATTAGTATGATTTATGACTACATATCTATTAAATAGAAGAATATGCAATATAAACAATAGAAAAATATAAGATTAGAGTTATATAGCACATGTATTAGTGTATTAAAAAATTTCGGAGTTTTCTTTCGGCCGCCACTGAAATTATCGAATTTCGTGAAATTCGGCCGAAATTTCGCCGAAATTTTGAACCCTGCTTATGGGATCAATTTCTACCAATTTTGCAGCTTCCTTTCATATTACTGTACTTCTATAAATTTTGATGCTTACTTTCAAGTTTTCGTACTCAACTTACAATAAAATTGCAACAGTATGGTTCTTTCTATTCAGTTTGCCATTATGCAGCCTGTTCGTTTCATCGTAAATGATCGTGGATTATTTACTGCTGGCTGGTTTGGTGTGAGAGAAAAATATTATTCCAGGTTATAATCCACGATCGTATACGAGTAAGCGAACAGGCTGATGGTTCTTTCTATTCAGTTTGCCATTTCTACTTATATTTGGACATCTGGATACTAATGCAAACAAATTTGCATAATGTTAGGTTGAGATGGAATCCATCCTGGCTCAACCTGTTGAAGGACAAGCACCGAAGACTCCTACTCAAGCAGTTGCTGAAGTTATGCCAAAATCATATTAAAATTTGGAGCTATTACGTTATCGCCTCTATTTTGAACCCCAATTATGATTTTACTCCTATTTTCTTTCACTTTGTGTTTTTACCCCTGCTTTTCCAAAATGAAGGTTCAGTTTACTCCTACTCTGTGAACAGCAGATAACGGTGTTAAAAAAATTGACAGATGACAAATTTGCCCTTCCGAATATTACATTTTTGCCCCTATTTCAAACCCTAATTGTGATTTTACCCCCACTTTCTTTCACTTTGTGTTTTTACCCCTACTTTTTCAAAACGAAGGCTCCATTTATCCCAATTCTTAATTCAGTTATCTACGTCCGGATCAAAACAATTAAAAATTAACAAAAGCCCTATGAAAAGGCAAACTTACCCCTTATCTCTCGGTCGTCTCTCTCAGGGTCGTCCCTCTCAATGCTAGCAGGCAGCGGGCGGCTGGGTGCGGCGGATGGGCAGCGTCGGGCCGGCGCGGCGAGCGGGCGCGTGCGGCCAGACGGAGGAAGCGGCGCGGGCGCGCACGGCTTAGCCTGACGTGGGCGCGTAGCCTGGCACGCGGCTCTACTTGGCGCGGGCGCGCGCAGCCAGGCATGCGGCTCTGCTTGGCGCGGGCGCGCGCGGCTTGGCCGGCATCGCGAGCGCGCGTCTCGCGAAAGCAGCCGACTATGGAGCCGAAGACCCGCCTCTCTCTCTCAACTCTAGCGGATGGCTGGGTGCGGCGACGACGGAAGACCAACAGCAGGCCCGTCCGACGGTGTGCGGCGAGTGGACCTGTCATCCGCACACGCCCACAAGTCCAGGGCAGCGCATCGGCGGCCAGCAGGTGTCGTCATGCGGTGCGCCGCCGAGTAGTGGCCCGCGAAGCAGGCCTCGAAGCCGGCCTGGTACGCGCGGTCGACGGCGCACAGCCGCTGCCCGAGAGCTGGCCGTAGTAGCTCGTGTACGCCTTCTCCTTCCTGCAGCACTCGACGAGCATGGCGCAGAGCTCCGGCTCTTGGCCGGGCCGCACCACCGACAGGAGCTTGTGCTCCGCTTCCTCGGAGGTGACGCTCGACGTACTGTCATGTAGATTGTCCGCCGAAGGTTGATGAGATCGGTGTCGGTCTGGTCGCGGACGACGACCGGCGGCTGATCCGTTTCTGACTCCTCACCAGCTGACTCGTCGTCGTCGCTGTCGGTTTCTTCGTCATCAGGAGAGGAAGATTGAATCTTGTCGTCTCCGAGGATAGTTCTCTTGAGGTCCTCGTATGCCGCCTCGTCTTGCTCGAAGGAAGGGCTTGACTCGAACACGTCAAGATGGAACTCCGGATCGAGCTCATCATCGTCGAGCTCTATCTGATGAGTCACCTGGTCGTCCGGCTCGATTAGATCCAGCTCCGGCTGGACGGGAGGGTGACCCCGGAACTGCGCCTTCCGGATGGCGAAGAGATCCTCGATCAAGAACTCGACGCGCTTGTCAACATCGCCGTCGTGGAGGACGCTCCTTAGGCAGTCCAACACGGCGTGTAGCCCCCTCGGGCACGACTCTTGGAGCGCGGCGCCGCAGTGGGTGACGAGGCCGATGGCGACCTCGACGCTGCCGTCGGTGGGGCGGTCGAGCAGGAGCGCGAGGAGCTGGAGCGCGAGCAGGTCGCGCGCGACGCCCTGGTTGACGAGGTGCGCGACGAACGTGGCCGCGGCGGCGAGCCGGTGCGTGTTCCCCGCGGCGTGGGCGCGCCTGGCGCGGAGCGTGAGGCGGGCCAGGAGGAGACGGCCAACGCAGGGGAGCCTGGCGTTGGCGACGGCCGCCAGCGCCGCGAAGACCGGCGTGAAGGAAGCCGGGCAGGCCGCCTGGGAACGGCGGAGCGCGCGGCAGAGAAGGCCACGCACGCGGACCAGGTTCTCGGACAGGAGCTCCGGCGCCACGTGGCGGATGTTGGCCGCGGTTGCCTTGTTGACTAGCCCTGTGATGCTCCTCCGTAGCGCGTCCCAGCTGCGGCGCTCGTAGCCGGACTCCTCGTCGGCGTCGTCGGTGGTGGCGCGGTACGGAGGGACGTAGATGCCGCCGCCGTCGCAGCGCTTGCTTGGCGGGGCAGCCGTCGTGTGTCCCACTTCCACCTCGGCCGTCCGCGGGCGCTTGCGGTTGCGGCTCGCGTCGCTTCTGGTCGGCATCATATCTGCCCGGCCGGTTCTTGACATCGCACAGAGATGGAGATGGATTGAAGCCTCGCTGCTTGCTTCCGTATATATTTATACAGGCGCGCCGCGCGGGTAAGTCGGTGAGATCATGGAGGGAGGGGGGAAATTGCAGTCTCCTAGTCGGTCACGAGATGCACGGCCGTTTCGGATGGCAGCACCGACTTGGCGTTCAACCAAGCCCCCGCCCCTCGATCTGGCTCTGATCTCCACACTCCACTCGGACACCGGACATTGCCTGAGCCGCCATGGATCTACGTCGAGTCACCGACCCACACAACCAGGCGCAGTCGCCAGGCGCATCTCCGTCGTCCCACCTCGAGCACCGCCCCTTAATACCACAACGTTCTCGATTTTAAGTTGCATGGTCTGGCGGGCAAGATGAGCATACTTAGTTGGAGGATCAATGTAGTTTTACGTTATTGCTCTACTCAGCTCTGCTTACCACAATTCAGCAAGGTTCTAAGCAGCCCGTCATTGCACCGACATAACCTTTTAGAGAAATGTTGTTAAAATATTGCTAATTGTTCTTGTTTTATAGCCAATGATGTTTTAGCTATGCTAAACACCACAATTTGATTCAACCGCGAACTTTTAAGCCGCTAATTCTAAATTGGGGAAAATATTCAACTTTCTTTTACTCTAGACGACTATAATATATACCTCACCATTGTGCTCTTTACTTAATAATTGATGAAATTGATACAAGACAATTACTTTGCTTATTGTTGAAAGTTAAATGAATATAAAATGGAAGCTGATCGATTGAATGATTATGAAATAATAGACCATTTAGACATGTTCTTATTTCCATTTTTATAGCTAGTATAATTAATAAATTTTCATATTTTCTATAAACTTACTAATGAAACAGCTTTTACATATTTTTATAGCTTCTGGATTTCCGATACTTGAAACCTTGTAATTTAGGCTTTGATCCTAGGAACATTATGCCTCATCCTGCTGCAGTGATAATGGCAGTATATACAGTTTGAACATACATTGATCAAATTTCATCCAAAAATATCAGCGTTTCTCTTGAGCATGGTGCTTTGAGCCTTTAATTCTCGAATTCATAGTCGTTTTAACTCAACAGCTTACAGTTTTTTCATAGCACATAACTCAAAGTAGCTCTTACATAGCTCACAGCTCACAACAACATTTTACAACTCACCGCTGAATCAAAAAGACCCTGAGTTCTCTATCAAAGTTCGGTTGCAGGCATTGCCACCGGTTGACCACAACCATTTTGAGTTGCGTATTGCTTTGTTACACTCATCTAGTTTTGCAGCAGAATCAGCCCAATTCTTTAGCATAGCCTTTCATTCTTGTCCCCGGTCTCCTGGCAATGGGCTTACTTGCCCGCAGCGTCATTATCATGCTAGGTTGGTTATATCATTTGCGCAGATCAGAACTACTCTCTATGTTCCATTTTATAAGACGACTATGTACCTAAAAAAAACCAAAACATCTTATAATTTAAAACAGAAGGAGTACTACATTTCCAAATGTCAACTACGCTTAACTATCTTCGGATGTGGAATTCATCGTAATAGCTTTTGGAATTGTTACTTCTTCTTAGGTTGTCATTTTTCATTGCCTAGGCCTTGGCCAGTGACACATAACTTTGTTGCAAGTGTGTCCATGGATTATGTTGCATCCAGATGAATGAACTACTATGTCGCGCAGTGTGTGCCAGGAGAATTTGTTGAGGTTCACCCAGTGATGTGTCCCAAACTCCCAACAGAAATTTATCCTTCTCACAAGTTGAAAAATCGGTAATTGTCTCATGTAAATCATCCAGTGACTAAATTAGCCAACGTGTGACCCAGCAGCTTTGGCTAACGTCCCCAACAGAACCCCTGGTAACAAGTTCCTTACCACCTGTTTGCATTTTATCCAACATTTCACGGCTGCCTATATGCAAACAAACAACACAAACTTGAATTTATCTGAACTTATTTTATTTCCAACACTACTGTTCATTCCTCAACATAGTTCACATATTATTATTGCAACAAGATACAAGGAGTAAGCAGATTCTAGCCCTTAATCCGAGTCCAGACTCCAGACACCCATATCAAAAGAAGCTCCTATGCCCAGAGTTGTATATGTTCTTGTGCACCATGCAAGGAATCAACTATAGTTCATAATGACAGGTATAAAGAATCTGGACGCAAAGCCTCCTAAATATGTGAAGAACAGCACTTCATGATGCTGAAGAAGTCACCGTCCCAATGGTGTGGTCAAAGATTTCGATCCAGTAACCATCAGGATCTTTGATGAAGGCGATGCCTTTGATTTTTCCTACAGAGATAAGAATGTAAATGGGGTATCATTACTAGATTGAAGGTAATAGGCAGGTGACATTATCAACCATAAGCCAAAGAGCATGTCGTTCTCCATGATTTTCAGAAAGCAGAGCTTTCAATGTTTACATCAACAAATTGTTCCTATGCAACCATAGGCTTCACCATACTAACAAAACTGCTGAACTGGTCACTTCTCATTTTTCTTGTAGAGTTAAGAGGTTGGTAATGACTATCAAGATGGTCCTACAGATGCATTAGGGTGGACAGCACAAATATAAAGTTCATATACTGCCAGAGTAAAGCTATGACCCAAATAAACACCACGAGTCAATATTGTTGCCCAGGTAAACAAGAACACAATAGGAATTTGGTTGTCAGAGGGCAGCTTGGCCATGGGCCGCTTGGATTGTATTGAATTGCAAAACTTGGGATACAAGATGATGTTAAGCCACTGCTTATATAGGCAAGTGGTGTACCTACTCAGCATATTCTAACTACATAAAGCAGATGCTATGATTCCTACTTGATTGTCAAGAAACCTGAAAACTACTGGATGGTAAACAGTAAAGTAGAAGTAGTAGGTAACCAGATACATGGGTAAGCACTAGGCTAAACCCCTCAATTCTCCCCCTTAGCCTTGTGCCCTGCCTTGGGGATGATCTGCTTCAGACCAATTCTCTCCCTCATCTCTTCAAATTTGGCCCTGCCCAAAGACTTGGTGAGAATGTCTGCAAGCTGATAAGTAGTTGAGATGTGATCGGCCTTGATGCTTCCATCTTCCAGGCAGCTGCGGATGAAGTGGTACTTGATCCTTATGTGCTTGCTCCCCTCATGGAAGACTGGATTCTTGGCCAGAGCAAGTGCTGATTTGCTGTCCACCTTTAGTTCCACCACCTCGACATGCCTGCCGAGGAGCTCTGCTAGCAGCCTGGAGAGCCACAGGGCCTGGGTTGCAGCAGTAGAGGTGGCAATGTACTCTGCTTCGCAGCTGGAGAGCGCCACCACCTTCTGCTTGATTGATTGCCAGCTGACCAAGCAATTGCCGAGGAAGAAGAGTGTTCCGCTCGTGCTATTGCTCGTGTCGATGTCGCCGGCGAGGTCGCTGTCGCAGTAGCCAACGAAGCGAGCGGTGTCGGGCGCCATGGTGAAGTGCAGACCGTAGTCGAGCGTGCCAGCGACATAGCGGAGAATGCTCTTGACAGCTTGCTGGTGCTCCACCGTAGGCCGCTCCATGAACCAGCTGACGAAGCCGACGGCGAACGCCAAATTGGGTTGAGTGTGCACCACATAGTGCAACCTGCCGATGAGGCGCCGGTAGTGTGTAGGGTCGACCTCCGCCGCCGTGCTGTGTCTGCTAAGCCTCAGCCGCTCCTCCATTGGAGTGTGGACAGGGTTGCAGCCAGCCATTCCACCAAGCCCCAGGATCCGCTTGGCGTAATGTGTCTGACGGAGGGTGATGCCATTGGCATCTTGATGCACCTCGACGCCGAGGTAGAAGCTGAGGAGGTCGAGTGACTCATGTCGAAGATCCTCTTCATCTATGCCTTGAACGCCTCTACTTCTCGATCCTCCACGCCAGTGATGATCAGGTCATCGACGTAGACGCCGACGAGCAGGACAGAGCGTCCACTGCCCTGTCGGTACATTGCCGCCTCATGAGCGCTCTGCTGGAAGCCCATGTCCTTGAGCGTGGTGTCCAGCTTGGCGTTCCAGGCACGCGGCGCCTGCCATAGACCGTAGAGGGCCTTGCGGAGGCGGTAGACTTTCCCCTCTTCTCCAGCGACGGCGAAGCCGGGCGGCTGCTGCACGTATATCTCCTCCTTGAGGTCGCCGTTGAGGAAAGCCGATTTGACATCCATGTGATGGACGGGCCAGCCTTCTTGAGCCGCCAGCGCGAGGACTCTGCAGATTCCATGCGCCACCGGAGCGAACGCGTCGTCGTAGTCCACCCTCTCATGCTGGATGAAGCCGCGCGCCACCAGTCTTGCCTTGTGCTTGATCACCGCACCCAGCTCGTCCTTCTTGAGCTTGAACACCCATTTCAGGGTAATAGGCCGGTGACAGCAGGGAGCGGCACCAGCTCCTAAGTCCGGTTCTGCTCCACCGCCTTGAGCTCTTGCTCCATTGCCGCCCGCCATGTCGGATCATCCTTGGCCTCAGCGTAGTTGGCAGGCTCGCCGGCGTGTGTGAGGTGAAACTTGACGAAGAGGCATTGAGGCGGCGGAGGTGGAGGATGGTCGCCGATGATGTTCGTCATCGTGCGGTACCACAGCGGCTCGTCGTCATAGTAGGCTTCAAGTTTGTCTTCATCATCCTCCAGTGGAGTGGCGAACTCCACTTGGTCACCGACCACCACACCGCCGCCACCGATGATAATCTTTGGTGAAGTAGTAGGAGCAGCAGGGATCTTTGGCGTTGTCGTTAGCGAGGCTGTGCGGTGTGGCTGAGTGACCGCTCATCGCCGATGTCCCTCTCCGGGCCCCGGATTTAGTGATGGCGCGAGCGGGTGTGTGAGTGATGGCGCCAGCGATGTAGCTCCGGCCGCCACTGGAGAAGCACCTTGTGCTCCCCCGGCTCCTCCAGTCTCCCAGTACTCGACGATGGAGTCGCTCGCTGCCGTGACGGAGTTGCGGCGTCCGGAGTGGACCAATCCTAGCCGCGCCCCTCGTCGAAGATGACGTCGCGGCTGATCCTGACACACTGCGTCGTAGGGTCTAGGATGCGGTACGCCTTAGCTCCCTCCGCGTACCCGATGAAGACGCTGGGCTTGCCGCGGTCATCCAGCTTGCGGAGCTACCCCAGATCCTTGGTGTAGGCGACGCAGCCGAACGTCTTTAGGTGGCCGACCGCCGGCGTGCGCCAATGCCAAGCCTCGTAGGGGGCTTGCCCTGCAAGCTCCGCGTTGGCGAGCGATTGAGCAGATGGACTGCTGTCATCACCGCCTCCCCCCAAAACTTGGTCGGCATCCTCCTCTGCTTCAATAGCGCCCGAGCCGTGGCCACCACGGTCTATTTCCATCATTCCACAACGCCGTTCTGCTGCGGCGAGTGAGGCGCCGAGAAGTGGCGCTGGATGCCCTCTCCCGCGCAGTAGTCGGCGAACTCTGCGACGGTGAACTTGCCGTTGTTGTCGGTGCGTAGCACTGAAGCTTGCGGCCGCTCTCCTTCTCTGTCGCGGCCTAGATCTTCTTGACGGCGTCCGCGGCAGCATCCTTGGACGGCAGCATGAAGCGGGACGCGTCGCCCACCATCAGGAGGAAGTAGCGCCTCCCCACCATCGTCATCGAGGAAGCGGCGCCGTGGACCCCTCCTAGAGTCGTCGGCGTCATGGGCCCGCAAAGGTGATGCCGTGGGACTTGCTTGGCGCTCCCGGTGCGCCGCGCACCATGGCTCGCATCGGGCTGGTCTGCGCTGAGGGAAGGGGTCAACCGCTTGTGCGCCGCTTGCCAGCGTCGTCGTGATGCAAGTGTCGAAACTTGCTTGGCGCCTCAAGATGGAGAACATAGAGGCCGCGTGCACCATGGTTCACGCGCTTGCGAGGAGGCGGTGTGGCCTCTCCAGATGCATAGGACGCCCTTGTCGATCTCCACCTTGGACCCGCCCTCATCGAGCTAGCCGAGGCTCATGATGGAGTTGCGCAGCGCCGGGATGAAGTAGACGCCGTGCAGGACTCGGTGCTCGCCGGTCTTGGCTTGGAACACGATCGAGCCGACGCCTTGAATCTCCACCCTTGACGCGTTGCCAAACTGCACCGAGCCATGAACAAAGGTGTCGAGGTCGGAGAAGAGCTTGCAACGGCCGGTCATGTGGTGGGTAGCGCCGCTGTCGAGGTACCAGCCATCCATCTTGTCCTTGCCGGAGCCGGTGTTGAGGAACGCACGAGCCCGAGGTTCGTCAATGTTGAGGCTGGCGTCGGCCTTGGAGCAGAGGATGTCCTTTGTTTCTAGCTCCAGGAAGTCGTGGGCGAGGAACAGAGCCGCCTCGTCATCATCCGCCTCTACAAGATGCACTGCGCCGCCACGCTCGCGTCGGGGCTGAGGGCAGTCCTTCGCCTAGTGAACGGCACGGTGGCAGTCGAGGTAGGTGTCATCGCGTTTCGCCTTGCGTTCGCCGCCAGCGCCACCAGCCTTCTCTCCTTGCCCGCCGCCGCCACGGTCGCCACGCTCGCCCCGCTCGCCACACTCTCCCTTGGGCCTCTACTTTCTGCCACCGCGAGGTCGCCGACGGTGGTCCTTGGACGAGCTGGACGAGCCGGAGCCGTCTCCTCCCTTCTCCTTCTGTCAAGCGAGCCATTGCTCCTCGGTGTACATCAGCTTCCCGCCGACGGAGATGGACTCGGACGGAGGTTCTTCCTCGAGATCGTCCACCGTCTTTAGCCTTCCAGCGACCTCCTTGATGGTGAGGTCCTGGAAGTCGAGGAGGGTCTCGATCGCGATGTTCAGCTGGGCGTACTTCTTCGGCGCCGCGTGAAGAAGCTTCTCCACCGCCCACTCCTCATCGAGGTCCTTGTTGCAGTGGCGGGCCATCTGCTGCTTCAGCGCGGAGAGACGGAGGGCGAAGTCTTCGACCTGCTCACCTGGACGTAAGGCGAGGTTCTCCCACTCCTTGCGCAGCCGCTACAGCGTGGCGCGGCGAATGCGGTCGACGCCGATGAGCGCCCGCGGCGATGGAGTCCCACGCCTCCTTGTCCGTCGCCTTGTCCGCGAGCGGTGCGCCCATCTCCGGTGGTACCCCGGCGATGATGATGGCCTCGGAAGGCCACGGTCGTCGTCGTGGTACGGAGGTCGCCGTTTGATGGCGCCCCGTAGTCGGGCGCTACCGCATCTTCACCTTCATGAGCAGGCTCCACTCGTGGTAGTTGGTCTTGGTCAGCATCGGCCATGGCGTCCTCGTGCCAGAGTCCTTGTACACCGTCTGGACGGCCGCAGGTGACCCGCGACGACCTCCGCGTCTGCGACAGCGCTCTGGCGACGGTGACGGGATCCGGCGGCGCACTGGGCTCCGCAAAGGCTCCCTGGGCTGCCTCTCCAACTCACAGTAGCACGGCGGCCGCGTGTTGGCCGCGCCGCTCGGGCCGCCTCGATCGCTCGCTGGTGGCTGCGGCCTCTGCCTGCCATGCTGTGCGCCGAGCCTTGATCGGCGCCAGATTGACCCTTTGCTCCTCCCTGAAGCGTTGGCGCCGGGCGCGGGCGGTCAAGCTACTCTCAAGACGCGCTCGCTGGAGGTGGACATGGCCTCTGCTCTCCCCTAACCAAGCTCCGATACCAATTGTTGCCCAGGTAAACAAGAACACAATAGGAATTTGGCTATCAGAGGATAGCTTGGCCATGGGCCGCTTGGATTGTATTGAATTGCAAAACTTGGGATACAAGATGATGCTAAGCCACTGCTTATATAGGCAAGTGGTGTACCTACTCCTTAGCATATTCTAATTGCATAAAAGCAGATGCTATGATTCCTACTTGGTTACCAAGAAACCTGAAAACTACTGGATGGTAAACAGTAAAGTAGAAGTAGTAGGTAACTAGATACATGGGTAAGCATTAGGCTAAACCCCTCAAATATTTTGGACGATCCCTATTGTACATCAGTCCTAGTCATATGCTTAGTTACACCATAACCCTGCAAATCTTACAGAAAGAAGCATTTAACTATTTATTTTTCTTGTTTGATTAACACCACAATGCGGGTCTCTGTGAACCAATTTGGTTTCATGCCCGGAAGGTCAACCATGGAAGCCATTTTCTTAATAAGACAAGTTATGGAGCGGTATAGGGAGAAGAAGGACATACACATGGTTTTTATTGACAGAGGAAGACCAAAGTTGACTTGATTAGAGGCAATAAAAGGAGACTTGAAAGGATGGAATATACCCAAAGACTTAGCCTTAGATAGGAGTGCTTGGAAGACAGCTATTCACGTGCCTGAACCTTGATTGCTTCTGATGGGTTTCAACTCTAGCCTACCCCAACTTGTTTGGGACTTAAAGGCTTTGTTGTTGTTGTTGTTGTTGTGATTAACACCACAATGCAAATTAACTTACCATCATCAGGTTTCTTCACAAACTCAACCCCAAGACGTTCAAAGCGTTCACATGCCTTGTGGACATCATCCACGGTTACTCCTATATGACCTGAATGAACAAAAGTGAGCAAATACAAGTGTTAGAGCACTATGTGATTTCAATTGAACATGGATGGTCAATTGAAACAGCAACTTTCAGTCATTTCAATTGAACATGGATGGTCAAAGCACATACCAAAACCACGAGGGTCTGAGTTCCCATTATGGTAACCTTTGAATTCAGGGTCATTTTCCGTGCCCCAATTGCTACAGATACCAAGTGTTAATTAATTTGCTGGTGACCATTCAAGCTATTAAAGAAGGGCATCTCACAAAGATACAGTGAAACAAGACGCACTGGGTGAGCTCAAGAGTAGCTTTTTGCCTAAAAGTCCATTCAGTCCGCTTGATATGATCGTCAGGGGCTGAGGTCACATCCTACAAGCACACAGTAGATTAAATTTACATAAATACTTACTAATCAGGATTGTGTAAATTCTATTTTCAGGTGATGCGTAGTTTCACAAATCCATAGAAACTTATACCTCATAACCAAGAAAATACAAACTGAATTTCATCTCTTCAAAATCCAACCTTTTCAGCAACCTGGAGAAGAAAGTGCGCATCATGACATATACCTAGAAAAACTTTTGACCCTGATCACAAAACAATGACCAAATAATTCAATATTATCAAATATGAGGAAGAGACTAGTAATAACTACCAAAAAGCATGCAAGGCGGCAGCAATGAAAAGTAAAACTGGCTGCAGCATTCACTTGACAATCAAGTTACCATTTAATTAAGGATTACATCCTATCTTTTGTGGTTGGTGTCTAACAATTAGCTTCAAGCTAGCACTTGTGTATATCAGGACAGGCAACATGCTGTTCAGAATTAAGTACAAATAAAACAAGGCATGAAACAAATAATCACACCAACCCCAAAAATCTAGATCTATTCACTCTCCATTTCACCTCCTTCCTTCAAGCCAATATGTATGGCGTATGGCCTCTTTATGGTTTCTGCAGTCTGCGCTTTATTAACCCATCACAAACAAGGTTCATGACAACACATCAGCTTTTGGACTACAGCCTTTTTTCATATTACTAAAAGATAACATCAAATGATTTGCTGACATTACCCAGAAAGCAAATAAGCAATAATGCAAGTAGTATCCTGCATGTATGGGGCAGGAAAGTTTGGCATTCATCATCAACACAACAGGCAACTAGGCAGGCCGCTTTAACATGTGGACATTGCATTTTTTCCATATTTTCAACCAGAGCTTAATTGTCCTTGAAGCCAGAACTTTTTTTTTTTTTTTTTGGGGGGGGTTGGTATCCAGCCCATGACTTCTCTTAAGAGCATCCCCACATTTACAGAACGAAACTATCGACAAGAACAGAAATGAGCTGTTTTTGTTTTTTTCAGCATAGGAATATTATATTTGGAGGAAGAGAAAGAAATAAAACTCACGACATGCCCATCACACGTGAGTAGAAGTCAAGGCTCACTTTTGGGTCCTTCACACGTAACATCTGAAACAAAAAAACAGAAATTTTCGTGATCATTACCTCCGCAAGTACAACAGCAGAAATGATTATGGTAATAAGCTGGCCCACCAATGGTTAATTCCAAAACCATGGAACGATTTTAGTTTAGCAAAGAAACAGGAATAGTAGCAATACAAGCCCCATCAAATATTTAGAATCAAAGTCTGAGATTTAAGGGCCCATTTAGTAGCATTCCTAAGCACCGATTCCTTGCAGAAATCGATATCCATGTATATAGAACGATGATGATTTTGCCAGTGCCCACAGGATTTTGCATATATGTGCTTAGTTATTTGTGATGTCTGGCACTTAATTTTTCTGTGGACTATGTGATGCCTGCTACTTGTCATGCTCATAGTGCATGCTAACAATGACATGATCAAAAAAGGGTGTACAAGCTGCTGAAAGCGCTCACACAAGGTAGGGTTTAGGGAAGGGAATTTCTAGGCAGTCTTACCCTTGATTTATTTTGCAAGGAAAGCTGGATCTAACCTAGATCCTCGAGGACACAAGTGGAGAGCTTCTACCACTGCACCAGGCCTACCCTTCTAGAAATGACATGGTACTACATTATGATTTTCACTCCAGTTTTTACATGTACCAGTAGCTGCAGCATGTTCTTGCTTGAGCTGATTCAGTCATGAAATATAAATGCAAAAGGAGTGAAAAGGTTGTGAAATGGTGAACGCAAACAAACTGAATATATGTTCTCTGAATGTGAGTGTGTGTTTCCTCTGCTCATATTATTCTTTGAACATGTATGGTGCTGCATTCCCAGTACTTCTGCAGTTCTGCCAGGGTGCTTTGCTGAAGAGAACTCCAGGACAACTGCATATGAAACTATCTGAATGCATTTCACACACAAGCCTACCTCCATGGTGCTTTGTTGTTTTTGTTTCAGACAAAATTATTTACATCTGACCATTGAAATGTGTAAATGCCAGGTGCACTTGAAACGTTTTCAACCATAAACTATGATTTACGAGATGATTTTTAAGGACCAGATAAAACTTCAAGAAGTGAGCTTGTCAATTTCTTCATGTGCGATCACGCAACTATGGGCATGATTTGTTGTCTTGCCCAACCTTGCCCACTAGCCTATCTTGGAAAGGTTACGCAAGGCAAACCTTGCTAGGTGAGGGCGAGCAAGAGTATCCAAAGATGCTTCCTTCCCCTCTAACCTTGTTAGGCAAGGGCGAGCAAGAGAACCAAACATGCTCTATGTGCCCCAAAGAGCTTGTTCATGTCCTGCCTTAACTTATCCCTTATGTTCTCTGAAAATGTGTGTTTTCTGTTATGTGCGAATTTCTTTGAGGTTTGGTCATACATGCAGATATTGTTTTCATGACCCAATCAAAATCTGTAAATTTCTTTCTGCTTTTCCAACAGAACAATGGAAAGCAATTGTGCATTAATGCAATGATGTCCAGCTCTGCAAGTTCGACAAAAAAAAAAGGAAAACGGGGCTTCCAGGGTGAATCAGGATCTGGAGCCCTGCCTTACAAGCCCTTGTAGCAAAGTGAGCTCAGAGTTGAATCTGCTTCAGAATTGAGATATCCAAATTGTTTGATAGGTATAAAATGCATTACATCAGATACAATTTTTCTTTGCAATCCACAGAACATGAGCAGCAGCAAATTTGGATTGGGGTGCGGGGCAGATAGGATATCGAGCACAGCAACTACTGACGCATCATCCCACTGCTTATCAAGTGCGCCAGGACTACTTATGTCAAATCCACATATCGAGCACCAAAACTGGAAATCCGAGCTGAATAGCACGCACAAGTGCTTGATGAACACCTCGGTGAAATAGACAGGAGTAAAGCTGGGGTTACCGTTTGCTGCAAGAAGTAGCCCTTGGTGGCGGGGTCGACCTCGGTCTGGAGCCCCGGGTTATTCGCTGGCGCCTCCTTTGGTCCTGAGGAAGTCGACATGGCGGCGGGCGAGAACCGGCGAACCCGGTCGAACCTCTGCGAAATCAAGAAAAAAATCCCAACGGGGAATGGTGAGTGAAACCTGAGCGAAGTCTCCATAATCATCAATCCAAATCCTCCAGTACGGAACACGGAACCTTGAAGTGCGACGAGCAGGAGATGTGCGACGCGCAGGGAAGGCGGCGGAGGAGCGCGCAGGATGGGGACAGGAGAGAGGCACCAGCCATGGCTAGAGCGCCAGGGTTTATATTTATATATAGGAAATAGGATTATATATAAAATGAGAGAATGCCAGTTGATCTGTACGGCTTCTAGCTCCTTCGGTCGGCTCGGGCATGCTCGATTTTGTGGGCATTTTTTTCTTTTTATTATTATATTAAAATTCTAGAGCCATATAAATAAAAATCATTTCTGTATCTTTTCATTAATCCTTCTGCGTGTTCTCTGGTGACAGTCCAACTCTTCATATTTTGCCCTATTCGCTTGTCTGAAAGTACTATTAACTAATTTGTTGTGAGAGAAAAATATTATTTATTGGTTGAAAAAATACGACTTATAAGCCAAACCAGGCGTTTATAAATTACGATAAATTCAAAATAAAAAAAATAATAATTAAAGATCTAATTAAAAACCGTTGGAGAGTTTTTTTCGAAATTTATATTTCTATTATGAAAAAGATATAGAAAGGCTCCTGGAATTGCTCCAAGAGAAATCCGCGGTACATGGAATGGATCCATTGCTATAATATAATACGATCCGACATGCTTAGCGCCTTCCCATTATACTCTCTCGCCCCCGCGTCGCCTCCCACGCGAGGTGACACGGGAGGCCGCCCCGCATACCCTAGCGCCGCCCCCTTCCTCCCTCTTCTACCACCGTGTCGTCGCTGGAGCTGGCTATCGGCATTGCCGCTCGGCCGTCAGGGATGGCGCGTGGCGGGGTTCTCCCTCCCGTGTGAGTTGGCAGCGCGTGCGACGGCTGGCCGGCGGCTCCTCCCCGTGCGTGTTGCGTGGAGCTCGCCGGGAGGACCGCCGCGACTATGGCGGCATTGGCTAGTGCCCAAGACGACACAGGGAGGGCGTGTAGCAGAACCGTCCAATTTATAAGAGCACAAGTACAATAGCAGCCCGCAAGCGGTCACACTATCATACTTGAGCCTATATAAACCCGGTAGTCCGTCGAGTACCACGAAGGGTCTCGATTAACCGTCAACATACAACCAAGATCGTACATGATTCAATAGACATGTCACATGTTACATCAGTTCACAAATATAACGTCATACATCAGAGTACGATTAAGAGTTATTACAAACCATGTTCAAATAAAATAGTCGCGGAAGCAATTAAGTTCAAAAACCAACACCTCACATCATTGTTTCAATACATTGCCAGTCCATGATCACAACCATAAAAGCATGATAGAGGGATTTAACGAGAGACGCCTTGCCCAGGGTCCTACTCTCGTCCACGGCGGGACAGAATCAGTTCTTACAGTAGCCATGATAGACTGTACCATCAGCAACAAGTGGAAAATAAACCATGAGTATGAGAAGATACTCAGCTAGACTTATCCATCATAAACCAAAAAGAAAGTGACTCCAAGGATCATGCAAGACTTTATAAGTGGAGCTAGCTTGACAATATTTTGCATGAAAAGCTACCAATTCAGTTATACATTTATAATTCGATCATCAAGTTAATTATAGCTATTCATCTCTAGATTAGCAACTAACATATGCCAAACATGTGATATATCATTTAGTAGCATACAGTGATAACCATAGCCGGTGTAAAAGTTCTAAGTTCATCATAACCATCATTTCATAATCCAGTTACTACGATGTTAGAGCTAGCCAAGTTTCTCACTATGCGGGTGAGACGGTGATTCGAATCGATTTCAACCAGCTGAAAATTTATTCTAACACAAACCCAGGCAGACCAAATCAACGATCACCTTAGGTCACTTTTGGTACAACTCAGATACACATTTCGTGGGTTCGATCAGCGCCGCACAACCAGGGACAACCAGCTGCTAGGACGATCAGGACTACCCTGCCCTTGGGCTCACATCTGGCTCCCCGCACATCCTTACTACCATCCAGAGTGTGCACTCTAACAGAATGGGGCCCGACCTGAGTTGAGCTACTCGGCTTCATGGTCGGAACAAGTTATCCGCCAGCTAAGTGAGAGGCATGTGTTTAATCTCAACAGAAGTTCCAACAACGATATGGTCCTTAATCGTCACAAACAAATCACATGAGCCAACCTACGCATAGAATCCATCCGACCTCCAGTTACATTACCCATGGTTCTTTTTCACGATAGCAAATATAGCCAACCGTGCTCTGGTATCCACCTATATCTCGCAGGTGACAGGAAATTACCCGACTTCTACCGGTCTAAGCATGGCTAAGCATATATTCGATCCTGGACCTACATAGGGTTAAAGGTATATTTATCTTTGTAAGTGCAATCAAGCCCTATTGTGGGTTTTAGTATTGATGACCACCAAATTAGAGGACTAATGAGATTTATCGAGATAACAAGCAGGGAATCAAAGAATGAGGATGATGAACAGGTTGCAGGTGTCCTAATTACAAAAGGTGGCCAGACCTAGCTCAAAGGAGGTTTAAATTCTTTTATATTTTGAATTTGAGTTTAGGAAAAGCTGTACTATTAAAAGGGATTTTAGGACGGTTGGTCAACTGTTGAATCAGATGCTCAAATTCATAGATTTACATCCTCGCACCTAGTCAAAACAGCCAGCCAAATTTCATATTATATTACCTGTTTTGCCTAGGGCGACAGTGCCGCCCTATTAAGAGCGGCAGTGCCGCCCTTAACTGACCATTGGGCTCGGGGGGTATTTATACCCTTCAGGCCCGGCCCACAACGGTTATCTTCTCCACTGACTCACTCTGCTCGAAAACAGACATAATCAAAGCTCACCCCTCTCCTCCATTGTTGCTCCTCCATCCCTCAAGCTAATCCTTGATTCCAACCATCAAAACTTAAGAGAAAAGGCAGCAAAACTCGATTGGAGAGGAGATCCACTGATTTCCAAAGTCTAAGAGCATTTGGTTCACGTTTAGCCGGCGGTTCTAGGGTTTGTTACTCTTGGAGCTTGCTCCTAGCCGGCTAGACATCGCCCTTGTGCTTGCCAACTTATGTGGCAGCCTTGGGAGGTTTGTAACCTCATTCGAAAGCTAAGAAATCACCCCTCACTTTAAGAGTTCACTCTCTTGATTTGAGAACGAGGGTAAAGCAAGCCTTTGTGGTAAGCTCAAGCCTTTTGTGGCTTCCTCAATAACGTGGACATAGGCAAACCTTAGTGGTGAGCAGAACCACAGGATAAATCTTGTGTCTCGCATGCTTTATCTTCATTATACCTACTATTTACATTATTGCTAACAGTTGTTAGGGTTTGGTTGCTCGATTCACTTTTGTGTGAAGTTTCTATGGTATCCAGTTTTTGAACTGGATCTTGACTCTATATTGCAGGATTAAGTAGCTATTGGGGTAATGTTTATCTCTGTTAAATCTCAACTATGTTAGATCATTTTTTGTAGAGCGGCAGTGCCGCCCTGTAAGGCCAGTAGTGTCGCCCTCTGCTCTAATAGAGTTTCGAGTTAAATTTTAACAGGTCTATTCACCCCCCCTCTAGGTCTTCTTTATCTTCCAGTAGATCCTACAAGTGGTATCAGAGCGAGGTTGCTTTGATACGCCTCACCACGTGAAGTATGGAAGAAGGAGAAGGTTCGAAGTCCGTTCGCATTGTGGAAGCAAGTGGTGTGCACGTTGAGGATGTCGGTAGCAGCAGTGAGCTGTCCATGTCCACAGCAAGTGATGCCACCATCAAAGAACCCAAGACCACCGATACCGAAAGAAGAAAGGCAAGAAAAGAAAGAAAAGCCACCAAGATCGCATCAAGAGAAGCTAGAGAAAAGAAGAAGGAAGAGCAGCGGCTCAAAGACAAGAAGAAGAGAAAAGAAGCTAGAAGAATCACAAGAGAGGCAAGAGCTAAGAGAAGGGCAGCAAGAGCTAAAGAGCAAGAGAAGAATGAGTATGATGCATCATCTAGTGAGCTCTCTAGTAGCTCGGACGATGGAGATGATGGTGTATCATACCATGCTTTAAAAGATAGCAAAGAGGTGAAGAGCAAGGACAAAAAGAAGGATAGTAAGGAGAAGGGCAGCAACAACAACAAAAAACACATATGCCGCCGTATCCTTTAATTATTCTTATTTGTCTAACCATAACAAAAAGTCTTTTGTCAATGTGCCCGCGGGCAAGTTGCCTCATTTTGATGGGACAAACTTTGCCAAGCGAAAGCACTTGATGAGTGTCTATCTTGTAGGTCTTCACCCCGGTCTTTGGGAGATTGTGGTGAATGGATTACAGCCACCGGAAGATCCCAAGCACCAACAAATAAAGAGCTAGCTGTTGTCCATCTCAATGGTCAAGCCACAAGTATTCTTCTTAGTGCCTTGGATGGAAATGAGTACAATCGAGTGATGAATGTCAATGTTGCAAAACAGATTTGGGACACTTTGCATCTAGCACATGAAGGTGTTGATAAAGTAAGGAAGGCAAAGATTAATTTGTTGATGGCCAAGCTCAATAGGTTCATGATTGTTGATGGAGAGGGGCCACAAGAGATATTTGATAGATTGATGACCTTGGTGGGCAAGATTAGAGGCTATGGATGTGATGAGCTTGATGATCACAAAGTAGTGAAGGTTATGTTGGAAGCTTACTCAACAAGAAATGAGACCGTAGTCACCTTGATTAGAGATAAAAAGAAGTTTGAGCACTTCACACCAAATGATGTGCTTGGAAGATTGTTGACATTTGATATGCAAAGAGAAGAAGCAAATAAGAGGAGAAGACTTGGTGAGTTGCAAGCCAAGTTAAAAGGCATGAAAATCAAGGAAGTGGCTCTCAAGGCAAATAAATCAAGTAATCAAGGCATCTCCAACAAGGCAAAGGGCAGCAAGCAAGCATCAACAAGTAAACCCAAGGAAATCAAGTCAACTCCACAAAATGATGATCCAAGTTCATCCTCAAGTGAAGATGAAGATGATGGGGTTGATTATATGAAGATTGATGACATGGCTTTGTTCACGAAAAGCTATCACAAGGGGTTGAAAAAGAATAGGTATAAGATAGTGCAAAGAAGGTTTCCCAATAAGAAGAAGAGGACTTGCTACAATTGTGGCAGCATA